CCCCATGCCATACAATTCCCTTCCCCATAGGCAACCCAACTTTGACCTTTGTCACTATCCCAACCTCCACAATCCACCTCAACCCAACTTGGCCACACTTGCCAACCTGGTTTGGTTTCTCCCAACCATTTGGCAGCAACTACAGTAGAAAAGACGAATTTCCCAACCCCCAAAAGTCTATACCCCATATTGAGTCAACCCCACAACTTCCCATAGTCACCACAACCAAATATCAAAAGCATACGAACTCCAACGTTCGTAACTTTCTTGTTCGTGCTCCGATTGAAGCGATACTTGGTTCGTCGGAAAGCTCTTGAGCAGAGGAGTCACTTCAGATATCTGCTCAAGCCAAATAACATTCACACACACTCAGAAAATCCAAACCGCACAAAACACAAATTCTTGCACACACTCACAACACGCATGCAACGCACGAACATATGATGGGAGGCAGACAGACGTGAATGCGAATGGTAGCATCACTCAACAGCTGGCTTGGTAATAGACCCAGAAAAGTGCAGCCACGTGACACGGCGGAAGAAAAACGCTTGGAACAATCGCTTCCAGGCCCAAAACCCGGAATGATCCGCACATGTGCAGGAAGTGCAGCGGGCGTTCTTCATTCGCGAGAACCGATGACCGATGATGCTCGCAACCCCCCCACGCCCTTGCTGGCTTGGTAATAGGCCCAGACAGGCGCAGCTATTTGACCCGGCGGAAGAAAAACGCTCAGAACGAGCGCTTCCACCCCCAAAAGACAGAAGGATCCGCACACGTGCAGGAAGTGCAGCGGGCGCTTCATTTGCGAGCGAGGATAACTGATGATGCTCGCAACCCTCCCACGCCCTTGCTGGGTAATAGGCCCAGAAAAGCACAACCACGTGACCCGGTGGAAGAAAAGCGCTCGGAACGATTGCTTCCAGCCCCAAAACGCGGAAGGATCCGCACATGTGCAGGAAGTGCAGCGGGCGCTCTTCATTCGCGAGAACCGATGATCGATGATGCTCACAACCCTCCTACGCCCTTGCTGGCTGGGTAATAGGCACAGAAAAGCGCAGCCACGGGACCTGGCGGAAGAAAAACGCTCGGAACGAGCACTTCCAGCCCCAAAACGCGAAAGGATCCGCACATGTGCAGGAAGTGCAGCGGGCGCTCTTCATTCGCGAGCGCCGATGACTGATGATGCTCCCAACCCTCCCACGCCCTTGCTGGCTTGATAATAGGACCAGACAAGCGCAGCCACATGACCCAGTGGAAGAAAAACGCTCAAAACGAGCGCTTCCACCCCAAAATGCGGAAGGATCCGCACATGTGCAGGAAGTGCAGCGGGCGCTCTTCATTCGCGAGAACTGATGATCGATGATGCTCGCAACCCTCCTACGCCCTTGCTGGCTGGGTAATAGGCATAGACAAGCGCAGCCACGTGACCTGGCGGAAGAAAAACGCTAGGAACGAGCACTTCCAGCCCCAAAACGCGAAAGGATCCGCACATGTGCAGGAAGTGCAGCGGGCGCTCTTCATTCGCGAGCGTCGATGACTGATGATGCTCGCAACCCTCCCACGCCCTTTCTGGCTTGGTAATAGGACTAGACAAGCGCAGCCATGTGACCCGGCGGAAGAAAAACGCTCGGAACGAGCACTTCCACCCCCAAACACGGAAGGGTCCGCACATGTGCAGGAAGTGCAGAGGGCGCTCTTCATTCGCAAGTGCTGATGACCGATGATGCTCGCAACCCTCCCACGCCCTTGCTGGCTTGGTAATAGGCTCAGAAAAGTGCAGCCACATGACCCAGCGGAAGAAAAACGCTCGGAACGAGCGCTTCCACCCCCAAAATGCGGAAGGATCCGCACATATGCAAGAAGTGCAGCTGTCGCTCTTCATTGGCGAGCGCCGATGACCGATGATGCTCGCAACCCTCCCACGCCCTTGCTGGCTGGGTAATAGGCCCAGAAAAGCGCAGCCACGTGACCCGGATGGAGAAAAGCGCTCAGAACGAGCGCTTCCACCCCCAAAACGCGGAAGGATCCCCACATGTGCAGGAAGTGCAGCGGACGCTCTTCATTCGCGAGCGCCGATGACCGATGATGCTCGCAACCCTCCCACGCCCTTGCTAGCTTGGTAATAGGCCCACCCCCTCACTCTCTTTCCCCTCACTACATTTCCCCTCACTTATATTTCCCCTCATTTTATTTCTCCTCACTTTTGTTCCCCCTCACTCTATTCCCCCTCACTTTATTTCCCCTCACTAATATTGCCCTTCACTCTATTTTCCATCCCTTCCATTCCCCCTCACTTATATTTTCCCTCACTGATTTTCCCCTTACTTTCATTCCCTCTCACTCCATACTTCCTCACTTCATTTCCCCTCACTTCCATCCCCCCTCACTCTCTTCCCCCTCACTTCATTACCCCTCACTTATATTTCCCCTCACTCATTTTCCCCTCACTTCCATTCCCCCTCATCCCTGTCCCCCTAACTTTGTTTCCCCTCACTTCCATTCCCCCTCACTCTCTTCCACCTCACTACATTTTCCCTCACTTATATTTCCCCTCACTCTTTGTCCCCTCACTTCTGTTCCCCCTCACTCTATTCCCCCTCACTTTCTTTCCCCTCACTAATATTGCCCTTCACTCTATTACACCTCACTTCCATCCCCCCTCACTCTCTTCCCCCTCACTTCACTTCCCCTATCTTGTATTCCCCCTCACTCAATTTCCACTAACTTCCATTCCCCCTCATCCCTGTCCCCCTCACTTTGTTTCCCCTCACTTCCATTCTCCCTCACTCTCTTCCCCCTCACTACATTTCCCCTCACTTATATTTCCCCTCACTCTTTTTCCCCTCACTTCTGTTCCCCCTCACTCTATTCCCCCTCATTTTATTTCCCCTCACTAATATAGCCCTTCACTCTATTTCCCCTCACTTCCATTCCCCCTCACTTATATTTCCCCTCACAAATTTTCCCCTCACTTTCATTCCCTCTCACTCCATTCCCCCTCACTTTATTCCCCCTCACTTCCATCCCCCCCCACTCTCTTCCCCCTCACTTCATTTGTCCTCACTTGTATTCCCCCTCTCTCAATTTCCCCTCACTTCCATTCCCCCTCATCCCTGTCCCCCTCACTTTGTTTCCCCTCACTTCCATTCCCCCTCACTCTCTTCCCCCTCACTACATTTCCCCTCACTTATATTTCCCCTCACTCTTTTCCCCTCACTTCTGTTCCCACTCACTCTATTCCTCCTCACTTTATTTCCCCTCACTAATATTGCCCTTCACTCTATTTCCCCTCACTTCTAGTCCCCCTCACTTATATTTCCCCTCACTCATTTTCCCCTCACTTGCATTCCCTTTCACTCCATTCCCCCTCACTTCAATTCCCATTACTTCCATCTCCCCTCACTCTCTTCCCCCTGATTTTATTTCCCCTCACTTGTATCCCCCTTCACTCAATCTCCCCTCACTTCCATTCCCTCTCATCCCTGTCCCCCTCACTTTGTTTCCCCTCACTTCCATTCCCCCTCACTCTCTTCCCCCTCATCACGTTTTGTCATAATCTTATAGTGCTTACATTTGTGTAGGCTATAGTGGGGTAGCCCATAAGGGGTACAACCCAATTAGGGCCAGTACTTGTACCCAAATTCTGCTCAATGCATTCATCCTCGTTCATTCTTCTGATATGGTTTCAGAGCAGGTCCTTCGTTGGGACCGTTTTTTTTTGGGCCCACCACAGAGCTGCCCCGCTAGCCGCCCTCTGCAGCCCTCGTGCTGCCCCGCGCGCCTCGTTGACCCTAGGCCCAGGCCCGCCCGTTGCCCCTAGGCCCCGCGCGCCCGTCGACCCCTAGGCACCGGTGCGACCCGTCGACCCCTAGGCCCCGGCCCGCGTCGACACCTAGGCCAGGCCCGCCCATCGACCCTAGGCCCCGGCCCGCCCATCGCCCCTAGGCCCCGGCGCGACCCGTCGACCCCTCTGCCCGGCCCGCCCATGGACCCCTAGGCCCCGGCCCCCCGTCGACCCTTACGCCCGGCGCGACCCGTCGACCCCTAGGCCCCGGCCCCCCAAGTCGACCCCTAAGCCCGGCCTGCCCGTCGACCCCTAGGCCCCGGCCCCTCGTTGACCCCTAGGCCTCGGCCCGCCCGTCGCCCCTACGCCTGCCTGCCGCCCCTAGGCCTGCAGGCCGCCCCTAGGCCCGGCCCGCCCATCGCCCCTAGGCCCCGGCCCGACCGCCGCCCCTACAGCCAGCGCGCCACCTGCATGCGGCCTGCCAGCAACTCGTGCAGCCCGCGCGCTGCCCCTCTTGCAGCCCCCTTGCCGCCTCTTGCAGCCTGCTAGCCGCCCCTTGGGACCTGCTTGCCGCCCCTTGCAGCCTGCGCACTGCTCTCTCGCAACCCGCTAGCTGCCCCTCTCCTCTGCTGCTATGGCTTCTCTTCACGTTCTCGCTTTCGATCATGAGGGCCGCCCTATCCAGTTTGACACGTGGCTCGACGACCTGCAGTTGTACCTACTGAGTGACTCTAGGGACAGTGTTTCGTTGTTTGACCACACGTCTGGCGCCGCTCCTGCCCCTCCCGCCACAGCTGACAGTGCGACTCGCTCACAGTGGCTTACTCGCGACGGTGCTGCCCGCTTAGCCATTCGCAACCACCTGCCGTTAGCCGAATGCGCTCACTTCGGACAGCACAGGATAGCACATGCACTGTACGACGCTGTCGTCGCTCGATACTCCTCGCCTGCCACTGCTGCTCTAGGCCGCCTTCTACTGCCCTACCTGTTCCCCGAGCTGTCCGCCTTTGCCACAGTAGAGGACCTGGTTTCCCACCTTCGCACTAGCGACAATCGCTACCGCGCTGCCGCCCTAGCTGAGTTCCTTGCCAGGAACCAGCCCCCGATGTTCATCACTCTCTACTTTATAGTCACCCGCCTTCCTGACTCTCTTCGCTCTGCCAGGGACCACTTTCTGTGAGGGGAAATTGAGTGGGGGAATACAAGTGAGGGGAAATCAAGTGAGGGGGAAGAGAGTGAGGGGGGATGGAAGTGAGGGGAAAAGGAGTGAGCGGGAATGGAAGTGAGGGGAAAAAGAGTGAGGGGAAATAAATGTCAGGGGAAATGTAGTGAGGGGTAAGAGAGTGATGGGGAATGGAAGCGAGGGGAAACAAAGTGAGGGGGACAGGGACGAGGGGGAATGGAAGTGAGGGGAAATGAAGTGAGGGGGAATGGAGTGAGCAGGAATGGAAGTGAGGGGAAATAAAAGCGAGTGGAAATGTAGTGAGGGGTAAGAGAGTGAGGGGGAATGGAAGTGAGGGGAAAAAAAGTGAGGGGGAAAGGGATGAGGGGGAATGGAAGTGAGGGGCAATTGAGTGAGGGGGAATACAAATGAGGGGAAGTGAAGTGAGGGGGAAGAGAGTGAGGGGGGATGGAAGTGAGGGGAAATGAAGTGAGGGGGAATGGAGTGGGAGGGAATGGAAGTGAGGGGAAAAAGAGTGAGGGGAAATAAAAGTGAGGGGAAATATAGTGAGGGGTAAGAGAGTGAGGGGGAATGAAAGTGAGGGGAAAAAAAGTGAGGGGGACAGGGATGAGGGGGAATGGAAGTGAGGGGAAATTGAGTGAGGGGGAATACTAGTGAGGGGAAGTGAAGTGAGGGGGAAGAGAGTGAGGGGGGATAGAAGTGAGGGGAAATGAAGTGAGGGGCAATGGAGTGAGAGGGAATGGAAGTGAGGGGATAAAGAGTGAGGGGAAATAAAAGTGAGGGGAAATATAGTGAGGGGTAAGAGAGTGAGGGGGGATGGAAGTGAGGGGAAACAAAGTGAGGGGGACAGGGATGAGGAGGAGTGGAAGTGAGGGGAAATTGAGTGAGGGGGAATTCAAGTGAGGGGAAATGAGATGAGGGGGAAGAGAGGGAGGGAGGATGGAAGTGAGGGGAAAACAAGTGAGGGGGACAGGGATGAGGGGGAATGGAAGTGAGGGGAAATTGAGTGGGGGGAATACAAGTGAGGGGAAATGAAGTGAGGGGGAAGAGAGTGAGGGGGGATGGAAGTGAGGGGAAACAAAGTGAGGGGGACAGGGATGAGGGGGACTGGAAGTGAGGGGAAATTGAGTGAGGGGGAAAAAAAGTGAGGGGAAATGAAGTGAGGGGGAAGAGAGTGAGGGGGGATGGAATTGAGGGGAAATGAAGTGAGGAGGAAGAGAGTGAGGGGGGATGGAAGTGAGGGGAAACAAAGTGAGGGGGACAGGGATGAGGGGGAATGGAAGTGAGGGGAAATTGAGTGAGGGGGAATACAAGTGAGGGGAAATGAAGTGAGGGGGAAGAGAGTGAGGGGGGATGGAAGTGAGGGGAAACAAAGTGAGGGGGACAGGGATGAGGGGGAATGGAAGTGAGGGGAAATTGAGTGAGGGGGAAAAAAATGAGGGGAAATGAAGTGAGGGGGAAGAGAGTGAGGGGGGATGGAAGTGAGGGGAAACAAAGTGAGGGGGACAGGGATGAGGGAGAATGGAAGTGAGGGGAAATTGAGTGATGGGGAACAAAAGTGAGGGGAAATGAAATGAGGGGGAAGAGAGTGAGGGGGGATGGAAGTGAGGGGAAATGAAATGAGGGGGACGAGAGTGAGGGGGGATGGAAGTGAGGGGAAACAAAGTGAGGGGGACAGGTATGAGGGGGAATGGAAGTGAGGGGAAATTAAGTGAGGGGGAAGAGAGTGAGGGGGGATGGAAGAGAGGGCAAACAAAGTGACGGGGACAGGGATGAGGGGGAATGGAAGTGAGGGGAAATTTAGTGAGGGGGAATACAAGTGAGGGGAAATGAAGTGAGGGGGAAGAGAGTGAAGGGGGATGGAAGTGAGGGGAAACAAATTGAGGGGGACAGGGATGAGGGGGAATGGAAGTGAGGGGAATTTGAGTGAGGGGGAATACAAGTGTGGGGAAATGAAGTGAGGGGGAAGAGAGTGAGGGGGGATGGAAGTGAGGGGAAACAAAGTGAGGGGGACTGGGATGAGGGGGAATGGAAGTGAGGGGAAATTGAGTGAGGGGGAATTCAAGTGACCATGGAGTGGAGATGTGAGGTGAGTCGACACTTTTTTGGGTGACGTGATGCGAGTAGACACCACGGAGTGGAGATGTGAGGTGAGTCAACACTTTTTTGGGTGATGTGATGTGAGTAGACACCATGGAGTGGAGATGTGAGGTGAGTCGACACGTTTTTGGGTGATGTGATGTGAGTAGACACCATGGAGTGGAGATGTGAGGTGGGTCGACACTTTTTTGGGTGATGTGACGCGAGTAGACACCACGGAGTGGAGATGTGAGGTTAGTGGACACTTTTTTGGGTGATGTGATGTGAGTAGACTCCATGGAGTGGAGATGTGAGGTGAGTCGCCACATTTTTGGGTGATGTGATGCGAGTAGACACCATGGAGTGGAGATGTGAGGCGAGTCGACACTTTTTTGGGTGATGTGATGTGAGTAGACACCATGGAGTGGAGATGTGAGGTGAGTCGAAACCTTTTTGGGTGATGTGATGTGAGTAGAGACCACGTAGTGGAGATGTGAGGTGAGTCGACACTTTTTTTGGGTGATGTGATGTGAGTAGACACCATGGAGTGGAGATGTGAGGTGAGTCGACACTTTTTTGGGTGATGTGATGTGAGTAGACTCCATGGAGTGGAGATTGTTAGAATCTTAGGTGAGAATGATTGACTAGGAAGCAAGGAAGGGTACAAGTAGAATGTCGAGAGAATTGTGTACCCCCTAAGGCTAAACCCACTATAGCCTAGACAAATGTAAACACATGAACTTAGCCTAGATATAACTAAGCATATATGTTTGACACACCCCCATAGGCGAAGTGGGGGATAGCCAGAACGAGTAATGGTCACAAGACGAGTCAAGAAAGGCAAAGCAAGCTCAGGGTGGATCACAAAGTCACCACACAGTCCGAGCACAAGCAAAGGGCCACAAGGCCAGTTCACATGCAGAATTATATACAGAGAACAAACAATACAGTGATCATACCCTAACAAGTGCAAGCATGCAGGTATATAGATAGATCACAGTACAGGCAGAGTCAGGCAGTAAGTAAGTGAGGCAAAGTAGGCACAAGGCCTAACACAGTAACAAAGCGCTGATGGTCACCAGGCGGAAGTGCCTTGGTGAAGACATCAGCAGTGTTGGCCCGAGTGGCCACATACGCTAGACGAAGCTGACCACGCTCCTGCAACTCTCGAGCAAGGAAGTATCGCAGAGCGATGTGCTTCGTTCTGTGCTCCAGTCTGTGCTCCTGACACAAGGCTATCATGGCCTTGTTGTCTACGTACAGGACTGGAGGCGAACGAGGCTGCTCTCCCAAGTCGGTCAGGAAGTAGGTGAGCCAGCGTAGCTCCTGAGCAGCCATGGCTCCGGCGTAGATCTCAGCCTCACAGCTGGAGCTGAGAATTGAAGACGAGTGGGTAGACCGCCAAGAAACCGAGCCGGACCCAAGGCTGAAGGTGTAACCCTGCGACGACCGCTGCGTAGCTGAGTCGTCAACCCAGGAGGCGTCTGCGTGACCAGTGAGGACAACTCTTCCGACCTCTTGCGAGACTTTTGTCGTGGGGAGGGCATCACCCAGTCGTTCACGCTTCCGGACTCCCCTCAGCAAAATGGGATTGCTGAGCGCCGCATTGGCTTAGTCATGGAGGTCGCTCGTACCTCCATGATTCATGCGGCCGCTCCCCATTTTCTGGGGCCGTTTGCGGTCTGGTATGCTGCGCATCAGCTCAACCTTTGGCCCCGTGTCTCCTTGCCGGAGACCTCGCCCACACTGCGTTGGACGGGGAAGGTTGGCGATGCGTCGGTGTTCCGGGTCTGGGGTTCTCGTGCCTTTGTTCGCGATACGTCCGCGGACAAGCTCTCCGCCCGCGCTATTCCCTGCGTCTTCCTTGGCTTTGTCCCTGATGCGCCTGGCTGGCAGTTTTACCACCCCGCCTCGCGCCGTGTCCTCCCTTCTCAGGACGTCACGTTCGACGAGTCGGTTCCCTTCTACCGTCTCTTCCCCTACCGCTCTGCCCCTTCCCCGCCCCCGCCGCTTTTTCTTGCTCCCGGTCCGCCTCCGGTAGACCCCCTCCCGCCCCAGGGTCCTGCTCCTTCGGGAGTATCTCAGGTAGACCCTCTCCCTGGTACTGTGCCTGTTCAGGTAGCTTTCGTCTCAGGTGCTGCTCCAGGTGCTGCGTCTGGGGGTGCTGCGTCTGGGGGTGCGGAGCCGGGGGGTGCGGGGTCTGAGGGTGCTGGGTCTGGGGGTGCTGAGCCTGAGGGTGTTGAGCCTGGGGGTGCTGAGTCGGAGGGTGCGGAGCCTGAGGGTGCTGAGTCGGAGGGTGCGGAGTCTGGGGGTGCTGAGCCTCGGGGTGCTGCTTCGTCTGGAGGTCCTGCTGGTGCTTCACCGCGACTGTCCTCGCAGCAGCTGCGTGAGTGGCTTGTTCAGCGCGCACACCATCGGAGTGGGGCTCCCGGAGCTGGCGAGCCTGGAGGCGCTGGAGCTGGAGGTGCTGCTGTTACTACTGGAGTTGGAGACCCTACGGAGCCTGGAGCAGCTGGCGCTGGAGGCGCTGGAGCTGGAGGAGCTGGAGTTGGAGGCCCTGGCGCAGGAGGCGCTGGAGCTGCAGGAGCTGGAGCTGTTGACCCTGGTGCTGGAGGTGCTGGAGGCACTGTGCGGCCGCGCCCGTACTTCGTTCCCCTGCTTAAGCAGGTTCTTGGTGTCCCGTCTTCTACTGGTCTTCCTCCTCCCTTCCTGTGTCCGCCGCCTGACCAGTCGCAGCCGCCGCTACAGCCAGCCTCCCCACTGCCTGTTCCCTCTCCTTACACTGAGCAGTTCGGAGGTCTTACAGAGCGTCGTGAGCCTGCGTCTCGTCCTGTCTCACCTGTTTGCACTGCTCGTCGCGCTCCTTGTTCGCGTCCTCCCCCTGTCCCAGGCACGCACACCATGGCACTCCGTCCTTCCTCTGTTCCACTGCGTGTTCCTCTGCCTGATCCTCCTGAGTCCTCTCTTCCTGAGGTCCCTGACCCTGAGTCTGACCGAGCGCGTGCTGCCAGTCCCACTGTCGCTCGTCTCCTTGCCACTGCTGTCACTGACCCGTCCTTTGAGTCTGCTGCTGCTTCTGCTCTCGTTGCTGAGCTACTTGACTTTGCTGCTGCCTGCCGTCTCGACTACGCCTCTGCTCTAGTTGCTGAGTCTGTGCCTGCCAGTCCTCCGTCCATCGGGGGTGAGTGTGCTCTTGGCACGGACGTCCTTGAGGACAGGCAGGAGGACTTTGAGTGTCTTGCAGCTGCTGTACCTCGTTTCGCCTCCTTGCTGCTTGCCCCTGAGGGAGACCCGGATGCTCCTGACATCCCGACCCCGCGCTCTTACGCAGAGGCGATTACGGGTCCTTACTCCTCTCAGTGGCAGGCAGCTATGGATGCCGAAATGGCATCCTGGAAGTCCACAGGCACTTACGTCGACGAGGTTCCCCCACCTGGGGTGAACATAGTCGATGGCATGTGGATCTTCAGGGTGAAGCGGCCGCCGGGTTCTCCGCCTGCCTTCAAGGCGCGTTACGTTGCTCGAGGTTTCAGTCAGCGACAGGGAGTTGACTACTTCCAGACCTTCTCCCCAGCCCCGAAGATGACTACTCTTCGGGTGTTGCTGCACGTAGCTGCTTAGCGTGACTACGAGTTACACTCCCTGGACTTCAGTACTGCCTTCCTGCAGGGCAGCCTGCACGAGGAGATCTGGCTGCGCCGACCACCTGGCTTCACTGGGTCGTTTCCTACAGGTACCCAGTGGAGCCTCTGCCGGCCAGTCTACGGTCTCCGCCAAGCGCCTCGCGAGTGGCACGACACACTCAGGACTACACTTGCGGCTCTTGGGTTTGTTCCTTCTACAGCAGACCCGTCGCTGTTTCTACGCACCGACACCTCGCTGCCGTCGTTCTACGTCCTAGTGTACGTCGACGACCTCGTCTTTGCCATGGCTGACACTGAGGCACTGACCCTAGTGAAGTCCGAGCTGCAGAAGAGACATACCTGTACTGACCTGGGTGAACCGCGCAGCTACCTTGGCCTGCAGATCACCCGGGACAGAGCACAGCGCACCATCACACTGACTCAGTCACACATGGGGCACCAGGTCCTTCAGCGCTTCGGCTTCCAGTACTCCTCGCCACAGCTCACTCCTCTGTCTACCAGCCACTCGCTCTCAGCTCCACCTTCGGACGAGTCCGTAGAGCCGAGTGGTCCGTACCCAGAGCTTGTGGGTTGCCTCATGTACCTGATGACTTGCACACGACCTGACCTCGCGTACCCTCTCAGCCTTCTGGCTCGCTACGTGGGTCCCGGTAGGCACCGAAAGGTGCACTGGGATGCTGCGAAGAGGGTACTGCGTTACCTGTGCAGTACGTCGGGCATGGGGCTTGTGCTTGGAGGACGGGGTCCCCCTTGGCCCCCTAGGCCCCTCGGCCCCCCCCAAGGCCCCTTGTTTGGCCCCTCGGCCCCCTAGGCCCCTCGGCCCCCCCAAGCCCCCCCCGGCCCCTTGTTTGGCCCCGCGGCCCCTAGGCCCCTCGGCCCCACCTCAGAGCCTGGCGCCCGGCCCCCCGGCCCCTACTTTGGCCCCTCGGCCCCCTAGGCCCCTTGTTTGGCCCCTCGGCCCCCTAGGCCCCTCGGCCCCCCCCCCCCAAGGCCCCCCAGGCCCCTTGTTTGGCCCCGCGGCCCCTAGGCCCCTTGGCCCCACCTCAGAGATTGGCGCCCGGCCCCCCGGCCCCTACTTTGGCCCCTCGGCCCCCTAGGCCCCCGGCCCCCCCCCCCCCCCAAGGCCCCCCCGGCCCCTTGTTTGGCCCCGCGGCCCCTAGGCCCCTCGGCCCCATCTCCGAGACTGGCACCCGGCCCCCCGGCCCCTACTTTGCCCCCTCGGCCCCCCTAGGCCCCTTGTTTGGCCCCTCGGCCCCCTAGGCCCCTCAGCCCCCCCCCAAGGCCCCCCCGGCCCCTTGTTTGGCCCCGCGGCCCCTAGGCCCCTCGGCCCCACCTCAGAGCCTGGCGCCCGGCCCCCCGGCCCCTACTTTGGCCCCTCGGCCCCCTAGGCCCCTTGTTTGGCCCCTCGGCCCCCTAGGCCCCTCGGCCCCCCCCCAAGGCCCCCCAGGCCCCTTGTTTGGCCCCGCGGCCCCTAGGCCCCTCGGCCCCACCTCATGTTGGTGCAACCCTACGGTTTGCACTCGGCTTGTTGTC